CGGCTGAATGGTACCGTGACAGGTAGTTGGTAAAATCTGTGGTCAGTAGCAGTTTGGGTTGCTTGAAGAAAACGGTCGACTTTCCACAGGGCTAAACAGATACAGAGTGCCGCTAAACTCTTCTGAAACACAGTGACATTACTCAGCTACTGCTTTGCTACACTTACCCTCTGTAAAAGACTGTTCTACGGTTTTGAGTAGAAGGGTAGGAGGTAACTCAGTGTGGTTTTGTAGTTAGACTCGTACCTGTTGATATATATTGCTCTAAAGATTAAAAAACCACAAACCAACACTATTGGATAGTGGTCCTTAAGAGAGCACACCTGAATTTGACGTGCACGTGCGAGGGTGAATAAGAGAATGGGGGGAGACTTTCTGTGCAGAATTCCCGTAGCTTTTCATAAAGATATGTATGTTCATTGTCTATTCATTCTGTCAGCAGTAGAATTTAAGCTTGAGGCTTAAAAAAGTCAAGCTAAGTTTCTTGATGTTCTTACGCTTCATTGCCAGTAATAACATTTCTGTAACCAAAACAACCCTGGGAATGTGTTCCCAACTGCTACAACCTGTTCGTTTAAGAAGCTTTGGCATTGAAGATATCCAGAGGACAGGTCTGGTTAATAATAAGTTGCCATTTTAATAAATAACTTTTTAGAGAAGTGACTGTTTAATACAGGATGTATGTTATGGTGCAGTTGCTTTTAACTTCTAAAAATTTCATAGTGGAATTCCATATAACAACTCATAAGCCCTACTGATGGTAGGTTTAGTGTGTTGGTTATTTTTTTAGTTATCTTTCATGAGCTACAGGTTGAAAACCACTCCTGTAAGTTTACTGCGTATGATGTGCTCAGTCAGCATTGTGATTCTTAAATTTCCGCCATTGTACAAGCAAGTTGTATTTAAAAAAACCAACCAAACAAAACAACACTTAATTTATATGCAACTTGTGCATGCTTTAAAATAGAAAAAAAAATCTTGAAACGTTGTGATTCAGTAACATGCTATTACCAATAAGTAGAAGTGTGTTTGATGACTTCTACATTTGCTGCTCGTCCTGTTTGGTGCAGCTGCAGCTGGGAAACCATAAATGAAAAGTTATATTTCAGAAATGGGAGCAATACCTGCTTCCAAACAATTCCTGTATACGAGAAGTGTGGAGTATGTTAGCTGGAGGGATGAATCAAATTATTTCAGGTGGGAGACTAACAGCTCAGGATTAAAAAACTTATTTGCCACATACACTTTTCTGTTGACCAGTGGGAAATCTGTTTTTATTTAGGGGATCTTGCCCTCGAAATAGATTATCTGAAATCTTGTGCACAGCTACAATCCTTAGGCACCCGATTTTACGTTAATGTGTATGTCTGAAATAATGCATGTCCTGATGCATCCAAGCAGTGCAGCCCAAGTAAAAATTAGGGTTCAGCTTATGGAGAGGCCGGGTGATTAGAACGGTGAATTGCAAGGGAGGTCAGAGTACATAAAACTTGTGTGTTTTGATGCTTGATTCCCTCTTTGGGTCTTGTCTAAAGAGCTTAACCTGATCTCCAAGTGATTTTTAAAAGATGGTTGGTGCAGACAAGGTTCCTTAAAGGAAGTGTTTCTGTGGTTCAAGATAACTTCCTTTTCCCCTACTTTATGATCTCTGTTACAGAAAAGTGTTTCATTAACCCATTCAGAGGTACAGTGTAGTTCTTGGGTAACTAACAGGTCTTTAACTTCGTACTCAGCTTATGGAAACTCTATACTTTTTTTTGGTTTTGTTGTGTAAGTTTTTTTCAGAAATAGAATCTTGGCCTTCCAGCTGTGCCTTTCTTCCAGTGTATGAAGATTCACTGAAATACCATGTCTGCTCAGGGACTATTCATCAAAAAATTTGGTACCTCAGAGTCCACAGCTTTGGAGTAATAGAAAGAGTCGGAAACAGTCGGGAAGAAGAGTGTGCTTTTTTTTCCTGGGATGTAGTAGGAAGGGTTGAGAATGCCTCTTAAGGCACTGTTTTGGTCTCACATTAGTGTGAGCTGATTGTGGAACTGCATCTGACTACCCCTAAAAATATTGCATAGGAGATGTAATTCTCTTTCTCGCCCCTAGTGCTGCTGTGACAGAGGCAGAAAGTTGGTGGCTCATGTTTTCCCTTTGGCTGATCCTTTCTCCTCTGCTTTTTTTCTCAAGCTTCTAAGAGGACGTGTCAAGTAAACTTACTGTCTAAATTGCTGCCAGAGATGGCAGAGTTGAATATCTACTTCTTAAAATGCTGCTCAGATTTTGAGAAACTAAAGGCAAAAGGGACTGCAGGCATTTCTTGAGAATCCCTTAAGACTGACCATTACCGGTTCAGTTTAAACCCAGTCTTTATTAGGGTTTGTAGGGCTTCCACCTGTTTTACTTGCAGATTTCTTGGAGTTCGTCTGCTGGCTTAAGCTGTGGAAAAGAGGCTGCTCCCTCCTATGTGCGCCTAGGAGGAGAGAGGTCCAAATTCTAATTCTTGAAGCAACCAAAAGCTATTCGTGTGGCTGTATGCCCTTCTAGGATGGGCTTCTGGGTTGCTGTTGAGGCTTTTCTGTTTTGCATCGGCTGACAAATACTCTGTAGGCCGGCAGAGGAGCGAGACTGGCTGCTCCTTCTTTAGCTAACACGGACGTTGTACAGCCGGTGGGGAGGACAGCTGCTCCGGGGGAAGGTGATCTGCTTTCATTTCCCGTTTCAGGGAACAGTTGACTGTGCAATTTACTCTGGGCTGTAATGACACTATCCGTCATAGTGAATGTGAAATTAAACATGGGAGAATTTGTTAGAGACCTCTTCAGTAATTACTGTGGTAATTTTCTTGTGAGGTTTGAAAGAGGGGTGAAGGCCTAGGAAAGCTGGAGGTCTGTACTCTCGTTAACGGAGCACTTCAGAGCTAAAGAGGTTTAGTCCATTACCTTGCTCTCTGATGTAATTACCTACCTCTAATTCATTCGTGACAGATGGATATAACTTATTCTCTGTCATGGTGTGAAAGACTCTTTCAAACTGTAGCACAAAACTCTTGATTCTTGTAGGACTTTTAAGTACACTAACTGATAGCCTAGGATGTTATGGTGTGTTTAAAAAGGGAGGGAGACTGGATTGCAATCAGTATGGGTCAGGGAAGGGCTGCCTGGCAAAGCCCTGCTCGAATTTTCCTACTGAACTAGGTTGAAAGGGATGTTGGAGAAACTGCAGCAGCCATGGGGATTTTGGGGGCAGATGTTCTGTTTTGAGCCTCTTTTGCAGTTGTAACCAACTCTTTTGTTAAAACTCTGTTTCCTTCTATGTCCATGGACTCCATGGGTGTCTCCTGTTGCTTTTATCTGCATTACCAGTGTTCAAAACACATAATTTATGATTTTTTTTTTTTCAGTTAGTACAGTCCTAGCACATAGTAGTAATCCAAGTTAGGGAGTAGCCTTCAAGGAGTAGAGTTGTTTGATTTGGGTGGTTTTGTTTGTTTTTACAGTTGTTTACTTATCTGCTTTTCGTTTTAAGGATTGGAATAGGAACATGCATTTACTTAAAGCTGTGAAGGCTGTGATTATTGCTGTCTGTCTGCAAGTATTTTTCATTAGCAGTGGTAATACACGAGGTTGAAAGAATGGTTATTTAATGGTGTGCTATTGAAAAATTCATATGTATTAAAATATGTATAATATATTTTCCATCTTGTCTGCCTGAAATTAGTGAGAGATTGAACATTTGTTTTCTTTCTTTTTCTTTAAGATCTTGAAAACGTTACCAGGTCCTTGAGAGAAGACTACATGACACTACACCATGAGTGACAGTAAATGTGATAGTCAGTTTTACAGTGTTCAAGTTGCAGATTCAACATTCACTGTACTAAAACGTTACCAGCAATTGAAGCCCATAGGATCAGGGGCACAGGGCATTGTTTGGTGAGTAAAAAATACTTTGTTTAATTATAAAAAGCTATAAATATAGAACAAAATTTGAATGTATTCCTGATAGAGGTGCCAGAATGTAAAATACCGATGTCAATTTCTATCTCTTGCTACAGGGTTATGGACTAAATAAATTGTAAAACACCTGCTTGCTGTAGTTCATGTGCAAACCTTTTGTTTTGTTTTGCTTTTAGGGGAAGATTGATATTTGTATAACTGCATAAATTAAAATGGTCAACAAGTTTCCTTCTCATTAACCACTTTATTTCTGTTTCTAGTTCTCACATTCCCCATGTAGTTATGATATTGCAGTGTAAGGTATGACAATGCGATGGTGAGCGATTCTGGGTTTTACTCGTTTCTTCATCATGGCCCCCTTTCTTCCCCCCCTTTTATTCCCGATCACTCCTGTCCATTTCTAGGAGCCATCAATGCAGTGCCTTGCCATTAACTGGCAGGATGAGGCAAATCAGTGTCATTGTCACTCCATGGATTAACCAGAAAGGGATGCTGTGTGAGGGGTTGGGCTGGCCGGCTCTTCCTTGGTGTGTCACCTCAGCTATGTGTCCAGCCTCCAGTGGCCCAGGACGTGAGAGTCGTTAGTCTGATCCTGAACCTTAGTCTCTTGTATGGCACCACACCTCTGGGCCAGCTAAAGGTAAACACTTTCAAATATTTTTTAGACTGCAGCAATCCATTCTACACGGCTTAGTGCAGCCCGCATTTTGTTGGGCAAAACTTACTTGGTAACAGCAGAAATGTTTATTGATGCGTTTTTTTAATTCCATACGCAGGAGAGCAAACAGATATGCTCGGGAACTCTCTAATATTAGACTTAATCACAACACGTGGTGGGCTGTTCATCTGTTAAATCCAGTCTGCAGTTTCTCTTCATCTATAAATTCTGCAGAATAAGTGCGATGACTCATGTATTGTGAGCAACTCCTTATACAGAACCTGCCCGTGTCTTTTTGGCCTTTTCATAGTCGTAATAAGTTACATATGTAGGAAAAGGGTGTATTTTTGTGAGAACATGCCTTTATTTTTAAATTATATAGATAACCCTGTTGCTCTGCTAATAGATGAAAAATGAGCAAAATGAGAACATATATTTCATTCTTCTTTGGTGGGTTGAGTGATGAGTGGATAGGTACACTAGATCTTGGTTATTAGTGTTTGGGTAAGAGTTCATATAGTGCTAACATTTTCCAGGTATAAATATTCTTAAACTTATGCTTGTTCCAGATGGCATGCAGGAATTTAGGGTGTTCCTCCTTTCATTAGTAGTAGTGCGTTTCTGAACTATGTGACTTAAACTAGGTGTCTGCTTCAAAATGAAGTTAGGGTAGTGTTAAGGTCAGCATTTTGGGAGGAAGGAGAAATGATCTGATTTATTGACTTGTTTTGTTAATACTTGATTTATGGAAAAATGGAGTGAAACATCGCGTAAATTTTCATCATCTTGTGAAATATCTGAAAACTGTGTCCAAGTTGAAGAACGTGCAAAATCTTAATTTCTCCTGAAATTCCTTGCAGTACACAAAGGAAAGATACAAAGTGCTAGGATGTAAAATGTAGAAAACAGTGTAAGATGAGTGCTACCTTGTCACGTTTGACTGGAAAAATGGTCAAGTCATTAGTGTGACATGCAGATGGGGGTGTCTTTTTTTTTTTTTTCTTTATCATCCAGTGTTTACCACAAAAATTAGGAAATATATTTCTGGAGTTTTGTGTGTGGATTTTATTTTTTGGTGAGAAATTTTAATACCACGTGTCGCTTTAGCTAGGAGAGGTCTGAACTTTGCTATGTCTTTCTCAAAATTTTAATGGGAAACTCCATTGGTATTGCTTTTGCTTAGTTTTTTCTTTGATATTAAAACGTAGGAAAATAAGTAGTTTTACAAATACATGCTTAGGAAAAGTGATAAATGGAATATCTAGGAAGATGAAAAAGCAATTCAGTTGTTATGTAGAGGGTATTTCTAGCTCGTACTGCAAACAGGCTAGGAGGGAAATTGGATATATTTTTTGTATTTTATGTACAAAATATACTTTTATACAGGACTTTCCTCTCTCCTTTGCTCCTAAGTATTAATACATTTGAAGTCTTATAATCTATTTAGGACTAAATAATGATTTGCACAAAACTATTCTTTTGAAGTAGTTTTTGTCTTCGACCTCCTGACATCTTTTGTCCTTTCTTGTCCTTGATTTTCAAAGTTTCTAGTGAATTTGATTTTTCTGTCCCAGCAAATTTCTTTTGTCCTGCAGTGCTGCAAAACAGTGATCTTATAAATAGCACAGCTTTGACTGTGTTGATAACTTTATTTACAGTTGCAGTTGAAGAAACAGTTGGGATAAGTTTGTTTCGGTTTGCAAGCTCCTGTTTAGACAGTAAGGAAAGAGTTAGCGAAACGGGACTGACAGAGCAAGAGTCCGTAGTAGTAGCGTACTGCAGTTCAAAGCAAAAGTCATTTGCCTACAGAAATGAAGTGTGATTTCCTGCTATAATTTAGGTCATAATGTTTTGTTAATATTTTCATCACGTATGTGGCATCACTACTCAAATGTTTGCTCAAGATGCAGAGCAATCACAAGTGCAGTGAGGACCCTATTACAATTCGCTGTGATCAAAGTGGAATCACTGTTACATGATGGGGTAGACATTGAGATTCTTCTGTGATATCAAACACTGAAATAATTTGTAGGCATTCTGTTAGTACCCAAGGTGATAATTGAGTAGACTGACAAATCTGCCTTTTCTTTTTTAAATCTGTGCCTGAAACAGTTGCCATGATGAAAAAGTCTCTGTTGAATTCAAATGAGCAGGGTTGGGGAAAGAAATTTAACACCAATTACATCCATGATTTTTTTTTTGTTTGTTCGTTTATGTAAAATCACATGATATTTAGAAGTGTGGCCTTGGTGGTAACAGATGTTATATTTTTTTTTTTCCCTTGATAAATTAAATGCATGCTCACACAATTTTTTACCTTTTTTTTTTTTTTTTTTTTTTTTTTCTCCTTTTGCCAGTCTGTTTTTAACTCTTCCTTTTGAATTGTGTTGGTAGCAGACAACTGGTTTTTTGGGCCCCAATGTCAGTCACTTCCATGTAGATGAGCAAACCAAGAGGTTCAGGTGGAGTTTTTCATATGTGCTCAGGCTGAGCCTTGACGCAGACCTGATTTGTCAGACCACAAAGTGACGCTTCCCCTAAAATTGCTCCAATGTCCACTGCTGACCTGTGATTGACTTGAACAGCTAACCATGCCAGACCCTGTTGGTTATTGATTTTATACTAATTCCCAGTTGTCATTAAAGTCCGTAACAGATGCAAAACTTTAATTTACATATAACGTCTTCTGGGTGAAGTGAATGCTGAAACCTGAGTGCGTTCATATTTGGGAGGAAAATAGTTTCTCCAGTTGTCTGGCCTGTTGCCTTCCTCCCATTTTGTGTTTCGTTTTGCACAGACATAAAGGCTTTAAATCTGAGAGTGATTGTGTCATTGAATAATGACTTGCATATTTCACAGACCTAAGCTGAAATAAGTATTAGCAAGCCTTTAGTGCAAGTGACACATTGGCTCAAATTTGGGACGTGTAATTTGGGACATGCCTCCAAGAAAACACGTCTCATGGGTGAGCCCTGCTTTGTGGTGGTATTGCCTTTTCCAGTAGGGAAAACAGTGACTTGGTGCTGGTAAACTTCATATAATCTGAGTGTTGTTGTGATCCTAGGGGAGCTGTACTTTTTGTAAGAGTACTATAATGTGATGATGCTTATAAGTCCGGTATTGTACATATCTTGATGAGAATAGGGGTGGAGCTCACAAAGAGCTTAAATATGCTTGGAAAATACAGGTGAATGAGAATTCTTTCTTACAGCATGAAAATAACATTAAATGGAAATAGAATAATGTGGGAATGCTTATTTAGAACTGTAACTATTTAAAGATTGGAACTCTTCAGTAGTTTGTGGTATGAATTCACATATATTTTGCCGAATAGTCTGTGTTTTAGTAATGAGGAATATTCCCAGTTTAGTCTTGTTCTGCATATACAGATAATTTAGCTTCAGATTCTTACAGCTATTAAAGTAAGTTGACACCTTGACCTCAAACTGCAGAGGGAAGGAACAAGCACAACTGAAAAACAGGGTAAAATTAATGGTCATGTTCACTTTTAAACTCTTGCATTGCTCCCTGCAATCTGAGTTTTCCATATTTGTCAATTCAATGGATTTATTTATTTATTACAAAACCAGATGATAAATGTAACATTCTGCTAGGCACTACAATTGTTTATAATTGTAAACTATCCATGTAAAGGACAGTACTGATGCCTGCAGAATGGATCGTGAAGACATGGCTGTGACTCTCAAAGAGAAATTTCTGTTGCAAATACCGAATGATTGTCAGTCAGCAACAAAGTGTCCAAAGAAATACTCCAAATATACAGATTAGGCAACTGAAGTGCTTCTTGATTTCAAATAAACTTAAAATATTTTTAGATCTTGCAATTTTGGATGTGAGTCTTGAGTCAGCAGATTCAGTCTTAAGACAGAAAGTAGGGCAGGAAGACTTCTGATGAGTGTCAGTGGCTTGTGTTTAACCTATTTGTATTTATTAAAGAATGCGTAGCTTTGAAGTTATGTTCGTTTTCTAAATGACACTTAGATTAATTTAGTATCAACAGCTTGGTGGATATGCTTTATCTCAAATCTTGATTTCTTTCCTCACTCATGTCTCCCTTTTGCCGCCTCCTCTCCCTCAAATAGACTTCAACTTAAGTTGTTTGTCTTTGAAAACTTCTAGTGCTGCGTTTGACACAGTCCTTGGAATAAATGTTGCTGTAAAGAAGCTGAGTCGTCCTTTTCAGAATCAAACCCACGCAAAAAGGGCTTACAGAGAGCTTGTTCTTTTAAAATGCGTCAATCACAAAAATGTAAGTTTGGCTTTATATTTCTCTCCCTCGTTACTGTAAGTTGTCAAAAAAGCTCACGATTTGCTCTCTTATTTGCTGTTAGTAATCAAAGTAATGGAAAAATTGTGAGAGAAAGACGGGAAAGGTTTGCTGTGGGTAGTGCAGTTCTCCCCAATGTATGGTTAAGTTCTTGGGTGAGCTGTTTGGAGTAGAAGTGCCAAGAGGAGGAGGTTTTTGCTGCGTTGTTGGTATAGGTTTACCATCAGTGTCGGCTTTATAGAGCTGGCCTTGCTGTAGTGCATTTGCCTTTTTAAGTCGTACTGCAGCAAAGCAAAGTTTGGCACTGAGTTTGTTTGTGGGTTTGGCTCTTGTTACTGCACTGTAGTTAAATTTTCTGAGCTCAGACAAGATTTTTATTAAATACAGGTTTAACTGGTAGGGTTTGCAGAAAAAAATCTTGACAATTTGTTGGTAAAGAGAAGTGAAATACTGTGGACAATATGTATATATTTTAAAATCTCTGAACCTCCTAAAATAACAAGCCTTCGTGTCAATACTTCAGTGTTCAAGTACAAGAATATATGAGTTTAGGTGACTGTTTTGTTCTGATACTAACATGAACTAGAAACATTGCTGATCGTTGAAATTGTACACTCAGGTCTCAAAACTCTTGGAGCGAATTAGCCTTTTAGGACTGATTTTTAAGTAAGCTTTTGGTGAAGTCCAGAAGTAGCAGAATGAAAGCAAGGTGGTTATTAAGGATGGCAGTACAGTAATTTTAGCAGTTCTTCTGGAAATAGTACATCATAATCTAAGTTTCATGGGATGGCATGGGGCACCTCTGTGTACGTGTTGTTGGACAGCCTCGGTTAAAATTTCTTGTACAACATGTGATTTAAAATAAGAGATTATTATTTATGGGGAAAAACGGGTTATATTTCAGGCACTTGGGAGGGAGACAGAAGGTGTCATATAACTTTAAAAAGAAAAAAAGTGGTTTTGTCCTGTCGTAGTTCCTTTGGCATACATGCTGCAGTTTAGAACTATTTTTGAATTGGCAGTTTCTCAGCACATGTGAATTAAGTGAAGCCAAGAAACATTCAAATTGTATATAGTAACAGTGTGCATTTGATTTTTGAATAGTAATTTCTGCAATAGTGGATTTTTATGTGAATTAAATCGAAAGTTTCTTCTAATGTTCATTTTTATTTTCTAGATAATTAGCTTATTAAATGTATTTACACCACAGAAGTCACTAGAAGAATTTCAGGATGTGTAAGTACTAGATTTTTGTTTTCGTTTTCCTGACAAATACTGGCCTAAACCCTGGAGCTGTATTTCCAGTATCCTACAGACTTCACACTTTGAAAATAGAGGGTAGCTGAAAGCTGAGTTGAGCATTTAATTAGTCTTTATTCCTAGATTTCTTTAAGAAAGACCAAAAAAGTTGTTTCACTACATGCATAAGATGGGAGTGGGAAACAAAAAAAAGGTTATTTACCTTTTATTCATCTATCTGCCTGTGCTGATTGCATATGCATCTGGTTTGCGTGCATTGTCCTTTAGCTAAATGGGTCATCGCAGGGTAATAGCTTGGTCTGGATAACCTGATACCATTTTTTTTGACATACAAGTCACAGCAGTATCTTTGGCCTTAGTTAAGAACTGAATATATTTCTTTTTCATGCAAGCTCTGTCAACTGGTCTAGAAAGGATTCATGGTGATTTGGTTGGTGGGGTGTTCGTAGGTTCCAGTGAATATACTGTTGTGGTTTGTGAATGGGCTTCTAGGGTAAATGCCTTGTGTCTGAAGCGGGTAAGCAGATGATATTTTAACTTGAAAATGGATCATTCCTTCTTAGTTCTTACTGTACTTTTCTTAATTTTCTTATTTTTTAAAACTTAAAATACAGTGAAAGGAAGGATATTTTTTGATATATTGCAATATCTGCGATTTCTGCATCAACTTCAGTCAGTGTTAGTTTTCTGTGCTGCATAAACTCAGAATTACTCTTCTGTATTACTGTTTATAAAACTAATGGAATTTAATCTCTTGTGATGGACTATTGAACACTTAGTTTTTAATAGTAAGACTATTTGAATAGATAATTTAGTTTTGAAACTGTGGTCATGCATGTTTTTTTTAATCATAACCTTTTTGACACTTATGTTAGCAAAGAGTTGACTTTTATTAAATGTCTCTCGTGCTGAGCTTAAACCTGATATGAAAAGTAACACTCAGGTTTTCTTAATGCTTTCTTTCTTGTGCTTTAGATATTTGGTTATGGAGCTGATGGATGCAAATTTGTGCCAGGTTATTCATATGGAATTGGATCATGAAAGAATGTCTTATCTTCTTTACCAAATGCTATGTGGTATCAAACATCTCCACTCAGCTGGTATCATCCACAGAGTAGGTAGTATTAGGTCATTAACAATACACTTTATGAACACAGATGTTCTTATGGAACGGGGGGAAGGCAAGGGGTTGCTGTTTCATAAGTTTGTTTCTTTCATTGATAAGAATACTATTAAACCTGAAGATTGTTTTTGGTTCAAAGATAAAAACTGTATTGTAAATAGATCTTAAATCAGGTTAGCTCCATGGATTTAACTAATGCTCAACTGATTAAAAGATAAAACGTGTATCTGTGGACCTTTCAAACTAGTAAAGAATGAGTCTTTAAAAGGTAATATTTGTCTCTACCCTTGGAGATATTCAAAAGCCATATGACATGGTGCTAGGCAACTGACTGTAGGTGGCCCTGCTTGAGCAGGGATGTTGAACCAGGTGACCTCCAGAGATCCCTTCCACCCTCAGCCAGTCTGTGATTCTGAAAAGTAATGTTTGTAAATGATCAGAATTTCGAAGTCGTATGCAGACTTCATATACTTCTCTACTTCTGTTGTTCTGCTGCTGTTCTTTATTTTTATTTCATGGCTAGTCTGTTTGACAGTTCTGCTTCGTTTTTGTTGCTTTCCTTTTCTTCCCCTGCTTCCTGGACACGCTTGCCTTTTAAATTTCTTTCTTTTTTGCCTGGTTGCTGAAAACTCTATCCAGTTCTAGTTTAATGTGCTTTTATGTTCAACACAAACATAATTGAGAAGCTGTATAAATTACAACAGATCTACTTCCTTACTTCGCTGAAAAAGTCTACCATGAAAATCCTGTGGTGTTAGCAAGGAATTTACATATAGTTAGCTTAAGTTTGTATCTAGATAGTCTTGGTACTGAGCTTTCCTAAAATTATGGATTAGGTGTGAAAGAGAGTGAAGCAAGGAGGGCTGGAACTCCAGCTGAACTCCACTTCACATGTTCAGTGTGATTTGGAGCTAAAGGGGAAACACAGTATTTGCTGAGAAACTTGAGCTTGCAGGAGCTGACAGAGTGGTCAGACAGAACTGATACTGGTTGAACAAGAAAATGGGCAATAAGAGGAACCACACTGTGAATAGCTAAACAGAGGTGTGAAGTTTATTTGAATGGAGAAACTGAAGTGGTGAGTGTTAGGTTGGGTTAGTTTGGGACCAAAGCAAATTAACCTTTCTGGAGTGGAAACTTCGTTAGATTGAGAGATTTCTTTTTGAAAAGAAATCAGGGTAGGAAAGGAACAGAGCTGGGACAGTTCAGAAAGAATGGAGTAGTAGGAATTGTATCTAGAAGCTGCTCAAAGAGTCTCTGACCAGATTAAATTCAGTAACATTCTGCAGAAGATCTGTTGCCTTCCTGAAACATGAAAACACGTCAACTATTTGCATGTCCCCATCTCCTTTAAGAAAAAGAAGTTCTGTACCTGAGAACGTGGTTCGTGTGGTTGAAACTAAGTCAAGCATTTGAGCAGAATTAAATGTACTTGCACGTCGGTAATTTGGCTACTTCTGGTACTTTGTGAATAAAAGCCAATTATTATAGTTTTCCTTGACTGTGTTCCTTTGGGTGCATTGACGACTGTTCCCATGAGGGATATCTCCTAAAGTATTTTATTTTTCTCTTCACTCAGTGGGTAACTTTGTGTTTTCACTGCACTATAATTCTGTGAAATTTGCTGATCACTATAATGCAGGTGGCTTATCTCTCATTAACAAATACACTTGTTAGTGCTTTCTATGTTGGAATACTCCTTTTCCTACAGATACTTGACTAATTCTTGATGTTGTCTTTAGGATCTGTGCTCAAATAATGACAGTATTTGGAACACAGTGTCCTTTACTGTGCAACTACTCATACTCAAAATAGGTCCACTTAATGTGTTAAAGGAAGCAGATATATGTACACATTGTGCATATATATATATGTATGTATACAGACCATTATATAACTGGCTGTACTGTCAGTGCACAAATAGGTAAAATAAAACTCTCCAGGCAACTTTGATTCTGGTTTTCCTTGATTTTTTTTTTTTTTTTTTTTTAGTACCTAGCTGTGCAGCATTTAACTTGTCTCTAGTGTATATATAAATAAGCAAATACATCAGAGCAGGAATATGCAGTTGTTAATGAATGTATTGGTGGCATATATGGACTGCGGAGTGGGTATGTGGGTTATTCTGTATGTTGATCCTTCCTTAACTGCAGTAATTTCTTGTTAGGATTTGAAACCCAGCAACATAGTAGTAAAATCAGATTGTACGCTCAAAATCCTTGATTTTGGACTGGCGAGAACAGCATGTACTAACTTTATGATGACTCCATATGTAGTAACGCGGTATTACAGAGCACCAGAGGTTATCCTTGGAATGGGATATAAAGAGAATGGTAAGTTGCTGGAGTAATGCTTTACATCTTTTGTCTAAAGCTTATCTGTCTCAGAACATAACAGCTTTAAAAGGGGGAGGGAGGGAGAGCGGGCTGGTTTCCCCCGCCATGTCTGTTGTCAAAGTGTGTAAACCATGGTATTGGAAATAACAGAAATGACACTAACAATTTTGAAGAATATAATAGGTTTCTGCTTTGAGTGCCTATCTCCATGTAATGTATACTGCTCCCTCTCCCCTGCTACTGTTTTATCTTTTCATGTATTGTCCTGTTGTCTTGTTGCCATTTTTTTTTTTTTAGTCTACAAAAAAGTGTTGAGACATTTATGCTGGATGATATAAAAAAAAAAAACCCAAACAACAACCGTCACTATATAAACAATAAACTTTTATCAATGTGATTTTATTCTGAAGCATCTTCTTCCAACAATCTGTTCCCTTTTGCATCTCTGATTATTAAAATCTGTTTCAGATCCCTATCATAAACCATGCTTTATACTCTCTTAAATCTGCATAACACTCAAAGAGGCTGGGTATTATATTATTAAAACAACACAGCTATAATGTTGAACATTCAGCCAACAAAATTGCTGGCAAGGAAATTGTCTTTGCCTTCCATTATTGGGGTTTTACCTTTTGATTTTTACTAGCTGTGGAGTAATACGCTGCCTTCTCTGGACTTTTGTGCTAGGGCATCTTTCCACTTTATCACAGGGGCTTGGGGGTACCGTGCTTTTTGTAGACGTGTAACTTTGGCTGTGTAAAACAAGGGACTCTGAGGACCTTGCTGGGCCACTGATAAGGAAAACAAACCTTTCATTAATGTGCAAGGCAGCTTGTTGTACGGCCAGTGCTGATGTGGATCAGAACTTTAGTAGAGGCTGTGCTGGATGGGACAAAAAATAATTTATCTGTAGGAATACAGTGTGAGCTTACGAATAAATACTTGTGGTATTTAAAAAAACCTCTTTAATCTTTTGTCCTTGTTGCACCTAACATATGATAGTGGATATCTGGTCTGTTGGGTGCATTATGGCAGAAATGGTCCTCCATAAAGTCCTGTTCCCAGGAAGAGATTGTATCCTTCTTCATGGTCGTTTCAGAAATGCAAACACTGATTATATTTTACAAAATGCTAATAACAGAATTTAGCAACAGTCGGTTGGTGTTGATATGATTGAAAATTCATGTTAGCGGTTTGATTTTTCCACATTGTTGTGTTTTATGGTAGATGCTAGATGTTTTTGTTTGTTTTCCTCACTTTTGTTCATGATACTTCATAATTTGATCATTTCATTTTTACTTTCAGTTGATATCTGGTCAGTTGGGTGCATCATGGGAGAATTGGTGAAAGGTTGTGTGATATTCCAAGGCACTGATCGTATCCTTCCCTAGTCATCCTTGAATCCCATTCCACTTCCAACAGAAACACAATTATTTTGATCTGTATAAGTATAAAAGCATAAACAATATTTTTGATATGTTTTAATAGATCTACTGTACTATTTGAAATTAGTGTCATTAACCAAATTGTTGAGCTTTCCATTTTATTTTTAGTAGACTTTATTTAATGTAATTTGTACTGGTTGAATCCATAGAACTTATATTAAGAGCTTTAGCTTTTGTAGCTTAAAAAAGGATACTGTTAGGTTTAAAAAATAAATAGCAGTAAGTATATTTTCTTACTCTTGTTCTTTGTAGGTAAGTGTTATAAGCAAAAGCCTACAAAATTACTTTTTACTATGCATGGATTTTGCTTACTATTTGTTTGAACAGTAGACTAATTTTTTTGTACAATTTTTTGAGTTTAAATCAGATTTTTTTTTCTTGCTTTTTAGTACTTGCTGGTCAACAGTGTCCTGATTGCAAGCACACTGCATGAGAAATCTTTTTTTATTGCTATTATTTAATAGTAAAATAAAACTTTTTTCTTTTTGGAGTTTTTTTTCCATTCTATGAAAATTTTATTTTGGGCTTACTTTTTCTGTAAGATCGTTATTCCTCCATTTCTCCCTCCAATATTTTTGACTCAGATTTGTCTTCATAAAATTCTTTCTTGTATCATAGTAATTGCACAAAATTTTACTGTATTAAAAACAAACACCACCTTCATATATATGCTTTCATGCTTTAGAGATTGAAAATCTCACTAATACATCACTGGATCACAAACAAGTCTTCTCACTGTATTAAGTGAACAGAAGTGATCATTTAGTAAAGTAAATGTTCTTTGAAGATTTTGGTGTATTTCAGAATATTTCCCTAGAAACAAAATTTGAACATTTTACTCGTTATCAAGTTCTAATTGTTAAAATTGGAGGAAAACCAATTTCATCCTTTATAAATAATATCTTACAGAGTAGTAGTGTTGTAGCACTAGACATTGAAAATTGGTCAGTAAATAAACAGGATCCAGACAGTGTAATTAAGTCACAACTGCCAGTTGTGGCTGTAGGTCATAAGAAGCCATAGCTGCTTCAAGATTTTGAAGAAAGTACAATATTTTTGCTTGTCAGCGAGGAAAAGTGGAGTCCACCACTAAAAGTACACGTTCACAGACACCTATTGTATCTTATAGAGGAGGACTTTCAATTTTAATGCTAAATTTCATGACACTAATCTTCAGCAGTTGATCATGCATTATTTAGTAGTACAAATGATTAATTGTTAAATAAGTATTTTTGTTTTCCACCTTTCTTCTTTCTATACTTATTGTTTTACCTTTTGAAGCCTTCAGACCAACCTAACACAATTCTTCATGTATGTTATGTGTCTTTCACCTGCATGTTAGCATGGGCTATTTTGATTTATTCATGAATAAATGAAGGAAATTTTGTCCATACTTGTTGAATATGCAAGTTATCATCTGTGGTTCTCTGGAGGTCACTGGAGCCTCACCAGTCTATGCTTCAAGGAGTCTCCTCCCCTGGTGTCTTATCAAAGTGCATAGCTGTGCTTACAGGGTTTTTTACTACTTGTAAGACTTTCACTCTAATGTGAAATACTGTTAGCTGTTTGTGTTGTTGAAACTTTTCCAGAGTGATAGCTGCTTCAGTTGGATTGTCACTTTCTTTTACCTTCAGGTGCAGGATTGTTTTGGCAGTGGGGTTTATGGGCGATGCTGGTGTGCGTGGCCATGAAGCTTTCCTTGGTTTGTTTTGGTTTGGTTTTTTTGATTGTGCTTGGGGTTTTTTGGGGTTGGTTTTCTTTGTTTGGTTTTTACCTGGATTTTTAAAATGCCTTGGTATTTGGGGCTTTAGAGCAGGGAACCAAGTTCAGCCTGCTGCCTAATCGTGTGCCCTTGACTATCTTGAGGAAAATCTACTCTTAGGCTCAATCGTTTGTTTTTTCCCATACGGTCAGCGGGGATTGCGGGGACACTTGCAGCAGTGCTCTGGGTGGAATAAGATGCTCGGTGTTGCCAGGGCGATGGATGCACTGAGCCTGCTCCTGCCTGGCGCTATGGAGGCCTGAGCCACTGGCAGTTGCTGTGATCTGGAAATGAGAAATGTTGAAAAACCAGGCCATGTAGATACCCAGGATGAAATAATGGAAAGCCTGGTAGCACCAGAGTGGTTTTAGTGCTCCTTCTGCCCAGGTGGTGAAGGAAACTGAATGCCTGACTGATGCAAAAAGGATGAGGGGAGATTCATGCTTGCTTGGGAAAAATCCTGCTTATTGTGGTTGTAATAAGGACTCTGTTTTCAACTTCTCTTCTTCCAGAGTCCCAAGAAGTAGGCAGGCAGACTTGGCATGGGCTAAACTTGTGGTTACTTTTGACCCTGAGGTCAGTAGAACAGGAAGGGTAGTTTTGTCTGCGGGTTGCAAGGTTATTCACGTGGCATGTTCTGCGTGCTTTACATTGAAATTGAGGTTTTCTCCTATTTGAGTTTCTGATAAGAGGCTTATCTTATTTCAAGCCCAACCCTATATTGGGGAATTTAAATTTTTTTTTTTTCAATTTTCAGTATCTGTAACGCACTTTGAAGCAATCCAACTGAGACATTGTGTTTCTCCAGTTTTTATTACTAAAGTGGGATAGGTCATTAAGTTTTGATGCCCTCCCCCTGTGCTCTGAGACCGCAATAGACCGGACGCTTAGTTTGAATAGCTGACTAACCAGTTACTCAAATAAAAAGGGTCTTCTTGAATCTAGATTGGTGGAGATCTCACAGAAATCAGTTTTCCAGCTAGGAACAAAATTTCCTGATGTATGTTAAAATTTTCTTTGTATGTGCTTTGTTTTAGCATGAGAGTTAACAATATTGACTTCTTAACTTTGATTTTAATATAGTTGTTCCATTGGAATGTATTCAATAAGCAAATATAATTTTCAATCTTTGTATCGGAAGTCTGAAGTCGTAGTGTGAAGCAGTGACTATACATATATTTCTAGTTGTATTCTTGGCACACTAACTGAAAGAAAAGCACCTTTGTTTTTTAAATACATCTTAATTCAAAGTGCAGCAAGCTTGTTTTGTTACAAAACCTGTCTATGAGAATGGATAGCTTGAAGTGCTAGATTGTTAATTTAGCTATGAATGTTTGCAAGGGCAATGGTTAGACTTGCTGGAATTGCACATTCTTTATCAGAAGAAACTGTAAAGTATAAATCTGAGTAAACTTAACTATCAGGAATACTAATGCAGTGTCTTCTCAGTGTGATAAATGAGCTTTGTTATCCCAATTAGGCTCGTTCAGAGCAGCCTCTGGAATTGCTGTAAGAAGTGTCACCGCATCCAGGGGAAATGCATTGATTTGAAAGAGGGAGAAGGGACAGTCCAGAACAAACATGAGGCACAATTTCAACTTGTGGCTTGTAAATGCAATTCCTATGAAATATTTAAATTCTGAATTTAGGAACAGAGTAGTCTTTGAGTATAACCACAGTTGAGACACTTAAACAAAAGAACCTGCTAAAAACCTACAGGAATCTGGGTTCGCTGCTCAGAACTCCTTTGAATGTCTTCTGAAGTTGAACATTAGAAAAGAACCCAACCCCGAAACACAACAACAAAAAACCCCCAACCATCCAAGCAAAACACACACACGCCCCCCTCCCCCCCACCCCAACCCTACAACCCAAAGCCTGATTTTCTTAGGAGATAGGCACAGAATTCCTTACTTTGAATGGGATGCATTTGTGCTTTAGGGGTTTTTTAAATGCATTTTTCCCTATTTAATACCATCAACACTGAAGATTCTTTATGTTGTACTTTAGAAGATTCAATAGCAGCCTTTCTTTTCTGTCCTTATAGTTGTTTTGCCCTGGATACAATTGCCAAATAAAGCTGCTTTTGGACTGTAAAAAAGTATTGCTTTCAATACAAGCCAAGAGATGGTAATTAGCAAAAGATACTTAAGCATAACGTGTTGTGCAGCGCTTCTGGCCTGTCCTTAAGGTTACAAGACCTGAATCTTACTTTTATGTCAATCTAGCTTTTTGCATGGCAGCTCAGAATACTGTTGATGCTAGAATGAAGTTTGTATTTGTCCTTTGTTCAAGTGTTTATTAACTTTTCAGATTTCTTTAAGTGATATTTTTGTGTAGTGCAGACTTCAAATTCTTCAGCTGATTTTCCTAAAGATACTGTGCAGATATTGATCAGTGGAATAAAGTTATTGAACAATTAGGAACACCATCAGCAGACTTCATGAAGAAACTACAGCCTACAGTGAGGAATTACGTAGAAAACAGGCCAAAATATCCTGGTATTAAATTTGAAGAGCTCTTCCCAGACTGGATATTTCCATCAGAATCTGATCGTGACAAATTAAAAAGTAAGGCGAGCTTTTTTTCTTTTTTTTTTTTAAGATGTTAATTTAAAATTAATGTCTGCAGTACATGTAGTTTAAAAAAACTAATATGTCTATTGCAATAGGTGTCAGCATGAGAAGCTGCGTACCTTCTGTTTCTTTCGTTTATGACATGTTGTGAAGTCTTAGTAGTAGTCATTAAATACAGAACTATTTCCCTGTCCCCAGTATTCTCTTAATTCTAATCTGTTGAATAATGTCAAGTAACAATAACAAGTATTTCTTTCAGAGAACGTTCATGGAGGTTATTTGTAATTACCTTTTTCTAGTTGATGTGTGCATATAATTCATTTTGGCTATACTTTGACTTTGGATAACTACTGATAAAATGGAAAAAACCCACCTTATTGTCTAGATGGTTAAATATTTTTTTTTTTTTACCTAGAAGAACTTGTTATAGCCTGTTCCATCATTACAACGATTGCTCAGATAAAAAAAGAAATGTCAGTGAAGTGCCACTGCAACAATGGGTATCCAGTTATTGTGTAGAAAGACCTTTAAAAGAAAAACTGATTTGGTATTACAGAAATTAGATCACTGCTGTACCAAGATATATTTTTAAAAGCTTATTGAAACTGTTTGTGTGGTTTATGTTCAATAGTTGGTGCCAAATAAACTGTGACCCATGTAACAGCAGAGCTGTTCAAAATTGAGGTTGGTTGGTGTCAGCTGCAGGGTTTATTTTGGATAATAGCAAAATAAGATTTACACTAAAGGAGTGGGACCTCATTTTTTTAAAAAAATAAAAAATAGTTGTATAGGAAAGCTTGGGTTTGTGGGCCTGTGTTCACAGTGAACTGTTACAGTGTGTGTCCTGTGTTCCCGGTATTCATTTTCTGTGTCAGACGTTAAACCCTACAGCTCTTTTACATGTCTGTTCTTTTCATTTTTCCTTTCTAGCCAGCCAAGCTAGAGATTTATTATCAAAAATGCTTGTAGTAGATCCAGACAAGAGAATTTCTGTAGATGAAGCCTTACGTCATCCTTATATTACTGTCTGGTATGATCCAGCTGAAGCAGAAGCTGTAAGTTTGCGTTCAAAATAAATTTTAAGATATCAGTCTAATAACTTTAAAGAATACCTGTTAGTTTTAGTCAAGAGCATGCTTTGAACTCATTCCTTGGCTAGCAAAAGTTGCACATAAGCCTTCAGATCCACGTTAGATGCAAAATCACCCGAAGAACAGCTGCTGGAGTGGAGTTGATAATAGTTTTGAAAGTGGGTATTGATAGTTCCTTTTACTGCAGAAAGAGTTGCCTGTGTGGTGGTGATCGAGGGCTTTTGGAAAAGGGGGCTTTCTCTAAGACCCCATAAAGCCTTACAATGAGTTTGATTTTCGTTGATGCTTTTAAACAGCCTTTCAGTGGGAGGCAGGACTTGAAAAGCAAATTCTGGAGTTGTAAAATGAATGTGTCTTTGAAGTATAGGGAATAGACTGCTGAAGATGAAGGTAACAAAATGCTAAAAAAGCTGCCATTTTTAGGGTTTTTTTTTTAGTTACGATTGGTTGTATTAACCTGATGTAGTAGATACACTATAGACTTTCTTTTCCTTGTAGCCTCCACCTCAAATCTATGATGCACAATTGGAAGAAAGAGAACATGCAATTGAAGAATGGAAAGGTAAAAAGTGAGCATGACAAATGACATTTATTGTAATAACTTGTATTACTAAATGTGTGGCTCACAGTACAGGTGTGCTGGATTGTGTAACTGACTGGAGCCCACTGTTCCACTTGTGCAGTACTGCTTGTGGCAATATGAAAAGAAATCAGTAATGGAAAAAGTTTTTATTTGGAGTGAATAGATATATACATATGCATATGTGTACATACACATATGTGTGGCATCCTCAACTCTGTTCAACAAAGTGCAGCAGTCTTCGTTTTTATTTCCTGAGTATTTTGTTGTTGTTAAGTGTTTGTAATCTCAGTGGGTTTTTTCTTGATAGAAAATTCTCTGGAAGAGAAATGTGCCTCAAAGCCATATCTCTTGACAATATTTAATAATTTGTTTTGGTGGTCTTAAATAGCAGAAAAGCTTTTTTGGTGTGTTGGGTTTTTTCCTCATCATTGCTTATTTATTGAGTAAATAAGTTAAACTGTTGACTTAAAAGAATAAATGGCATTGTGGTATTGAAATCAATTGCATGTCATAGTGCTAGTCAAAATCATGAAGTGGTGAGGCAGTTTAGATTTTGCACATCTACCATCAGAGGACCAAGGGTGAGAGAGATACATCTTTGCTTAGTACTTCGGAAGTCACTCGTTTCTGTAAAATAGCTTGATAAATTTCAGGTATTGATTCTGGTTTATATATATTTTCTTTAGGGCATGTCTGCACAGGTACACTTCAAATTATTTGAGATTAATGCAAGGTAGAAAATTAAAAATGGCTCAGTTAAATCTAACTGAATCCATTTGTAAATGTTGTTACTCGGAATTAAAGAGGTCTCTATTTAAATATTGTTACTCGTAGTTACATTAAGATTATGGGTACGTACACGAGCTACTATGAATTAATGGAAAGTATAACTTAAAAGTGTACGTGATGCTGTGCAGCAGTAATAATCCTTTTGCTCTGGAAGGGGCTGGGGTAAGCCATCTTGCGTCACCATAGTACAGACATAGCAAACACAATAATGCATGCACCGTTAAAGTTATAGCTCTCATTTTTTGTTGTTGTTGTTCAGGTGCCTGTATCCAAAATTATACTTCATTAGTAAATAAAGGCTTTCATGCAGTATTTTAATAATCTGTTTAAGCTACTTCAGAATTTCCAGACTTTCCTCAATGTATCCATGGAGATACTTGTTAAGAATAAAGTTGTTTGTGTATATTTTTTTTAATTGAAGTAAAATTTCCATGGGGGTTATCCATATAGTGGGTTTTTAAATCCAAATCTGTTTTGTTTTGTTTTTACAGTTACTATTAGTGCATCATAGGTATACATAAAGGTTTGAGATGGGGTGGTTATTTTTAAATGGATAGTTATTCTACTTATAGAACATGTTGATTTTGGTATATGCTTGGTGTCTTTCTGTGATGCGTAAAGAAAATCCGTAGAATTCTCTACTCATTGCTGGAGGCCTTTAAAAAAGAAAGAAAATTAAAAAAAAAAAGTTGGAAAATCCATACCTGTATAGTTGTACTTCCAGGCTGCCCCTTAACCATGTCATTGTACCTTTACATGTGTGAATTGTGTACAAATCCTCTGTGATCTCACAGTCGTTTTTCTGTCTCTTCTCTCATTCCTCCCACCCTTCTATTGTAAGAATTAATATACAAAGAAGTAATGGATTGGGAAGAAAGGAGCAAGAATGGTGTGGTAAAAGATCAGCCCTCAGGTTAGTCATTGTTTCAGTAGTTCTCCTCTGTCTATGATATGTAGTGCTGCTCTGTGGCACCAGTGAATGAAGAAATCCTGCTTAATGATCCAGGTAGGCAAAAGTTTTGTTGTTCGAGACTGCGGGTTCTGATCTGCTCTTGGAGATCTGTGTGCAGTAGTCTTTCATTGTTATGAAGTCAGTTGTGGGAAGACCTAAGGAGTCTTGTTTGTCCAACACCCTGAGCTGCCTTTTCCCCAAAGGGCTCAGTCATCAAATGAAATCATCGATTCCATATTACATCACCTCTCGCATCGACATCTTTTACACTGAATGCTGTGGCTCTGCCGGAATGAGGGCCTTTCATGCAGGACTAAACATCGTTAGGGCTCCTTGTTTTAAAGTAATTAACAGTGCAAAGTGTTAGTGCCCATGATCGAGTCCTTGATGTTTGCTGCTGCTCTCTTGGTTCAGTAGTTGGAATATTGTACTGGCTTTTATGAACTGTATTTGTTGGATTTCTTGATGCTCAGGTCGCTATTCCTGTTATACTTTTTTTTTTTTTTTTTCTTTCTCCCCGGAGAGGGAGAAGGAGGAACTTCTTTACTCTGACAGTGCAGAGCACTGGAACAGCCTGCCCAGAGAGGTTGTGGAGTCTCCTTCTCTGGAGACATTCAAAACCCGTCTGGACGCGTTCCTGTGTGGCCTGCTCTAGGCTAACCTGGCAGGGGAGTTGGACTAGATGATCTCCAGACGTCCCTTCCAACTCCTACCGTTCTGTGAATGTTGGCCTCATGTTTTAAGTGCTAGGGAACTTAGTGCTTGCTTTTCTACAGTTTATTTTCCGAGGATTTCTGTGGGGAAAGTGATGCTCAGAGCCTAGAAGTGTGGTTGTTTGTACCTTGCAATATTGTCTTGCCTCAGATTTTATTATGTTTGGTTTACTTAGCACAGATGCAGCAGTGAATAGCAACACCAGCCCTTCCCAGTCATCATCTATCAATGACATTTCATCCATGTCAACAGAGCAAACATTGGCCTCAGATACAGACAGCAGCCTCGATGCCTTGACAGGACCCCTTGAAGGATGTCGATGATCAGCCAGGGTTGGAGACTTGACTTTGGAAAAGAACTCTTGCTTCCATTGGGCCTGAATTGCTTGTAAGTTAGTGGAACCAAGTAGAAAACTCCATGTTCTGCATGTTCTGCTAAAATAATGCCTGTGGTTTTTTTTACTCAGTTGTTATGAAATTGCCTGCTTAATGTTGTAGAATGAAAGCAAATCAATGTCTAAAGAACAAAAAATTTTAAATTTAGACACTATTATAGGCTTTTCTTTGTTTCAGCCTATTTCAGGTGAGCAGTTACAATAGACTTTTAGCCAATAACTCCTCTTAAGTGGCTTCATGAATCTTCAGTCCCAACTGGCAGGCTTCTGTGACACAATGGTTGTTTACATTTTAGTACAGTATTGCTCATTAGTAGCTTTTTTGAATGTATAGTCTCTTTGAAGTTTGTTTTAACGTGCGACTGTGGCAGTTTGCTTTATTTAACGACTGGAGTGTTGTATGTAAGTGTGAACTCACACATTGAACGCTCTTAGTACTATGTTTAAAGGGCAGTTATTCTTCCACATAGCACTTTTTTTTAATTGAGCCCTTCCTATCTTCACTTTCCAACGATTCTGTCTGTCTTCTTGTAGAAGAGATAAACGTGAATTTTAAAGAATATAGCCATTACTTTGTATTTCACCTATGAGTATGTCTCTAACTTTTTCAGTTTTTTAAATGTGGATGGAAGATTCAGTGGCTAAATTAAATCTTAAGGAAGGATGAGTGACTTATCTGTGAAGCAGTGCCTGCTTAGAAAAGGAGAGAGTACTAAAATGTTCTGTATTTTCTAGCTTGTGATACTGGTCCTTTAACAAAAACAAGCAGAAAAGGAAATTATATCTGTGATGCTCTTCATTCATTGCAAACTCTGGTGAAAGGACAGATGAAATGGAGAGACTTGCAGCCTCAAAAAGAGCTGCATAAATGTTTTCCATTTTTTTTTAATGGGTCCATTCTATCTATCAAGTAATTACATAAAAATACAGTAGCGATTACTCATTTGTAAATTAAGTATTTAGTTAACAGAGCTTAGCTCTATTCCTGCCTTAGGAAAACCTCTCTATTTGTACCAGGGGAGGAAAACATACTTAGTGCATATTTTCTATAAATAGTGCCAGAGGAGAAGAGGAGATTTGCTGTTTCAATACAGGCTTATCAATAGAGTTTTCAGAATCAGGTGACACAAACGTTGCCTGTTAGGTTGCACAACATGTTGAATTAGAAGATGCGTTTGCAGTAGAGTAGGGCTTAAATTGCTTTATACTACACACTTGTGAGTTTGTGCACGTTTACTTTGGAGTGCACAGGTGTGAAATTTTGCTAAAGGATCTTGTATGTGTGCATGCGTGTGAGATTAAACTGTGTAACTACAAGAGTAATAGAGATGTACAAGATGAGGTAAACCACCACTTTCTTAAAGGCACTATATTTAGCTGTTGATCCACATACTCTTGACTTGAATATATAAATAGAACATATAAAATATACTGGCCCGGCCAGCCACTGCGTTACTGACATATTTCTCTTGTAAAAGAAGCTCGTCCATTGTTCCTGGCCATATGATTTGAAAAGCAGTGATTTCTTTTTATGCCAACATTGCTTTTGTATTAAAATTATACCAATTTTTAATAGCTTAATTTGCTGTAGCAAAAATATTAAGGTTTTACTGTCCCAGAAGGTTTATAAAAACACAAAAAAAACAGAGTACTTAATATGATGTTAACTTCAGAATCGTCATCTGGAATCTTGGATTTTTAAAATTTTGTTTAATTGAATTGCAGGATATTGGGACTTGGTTTTTTTCTTACTTGGTTTTAAACCTACAGATACCTTAGTTTATCTTTGGATACTGACGGTCTATGTGAAGTATTTTTAGTGCATTTTTGTCACTGGGATAACCATTTAAAAATATCTATTTACCGTATAGCAGAACAGTAGAGGTTGCTGTTCTTTTGCATTTTTTTAATCCTTGTTACTTGTGTAAATTGAAATTACTAAAGACATCTATTCAAAAGGAACATTAGGGATTCACTATGGAAGTCATCTACTGGATTGAATTGTTCAAGATTTTTATCTTTTTCAACTGAAGTTGCACTGTGCTATGTTCATTTTAACGGTTACTCCTTTGGAAGACGTAACGCAACAAGGATTTTTTTCATGTGTTTTGGATATTTGCAGAGTTTAATTTTTCCTATTGGACTTGGGCTGCTCAGAGCACTGGGGGGTTAGACAGGATGGCCTCCAAGTCTCTTCCAACCTAAATTTATTCTGTGCTTCAAACTGTCTTTTAATGGTTTTTTTTGACACAACTGCCCTATCTCCATTATTTGAACTGGTATCTGACCTTCTCCTAGTACTTACTGTTACCTCGAATATGCACTCTTGGAACTCAAAAGCCGCTGAGGTTAACTGAGTTCATTTGTAAATCTTGTTGTAGGAGAAGCTGTCTCGTACCTTATTTTTTAATGTCTTCTCGGTATGCATACATTGAAGCTTCTAAATTTTACAGAAATGTTGCTGCCTTTGGAGCATGCATGAAATGTCTGTGAATATTGTGGATTTTGATTCCAGTATAATTCAAAACCAAATTGCGAATCACCTGAATGAACATCAGTCTCAAGAAGGCACATATGCAGATTATATTCAGAAAAATGCATGCAGAGTCGATGCATGCGAAAGCTCCCGTGCTCTGTCAGTGTGCACCTCCCGGCTCTAACCGCCCTGCATGCGGGTCCTACCCACGTCGCTGTATTCCTGACTGCAGGGAGGTTCAGTGCCACGTTTGTGAAACGGTTGTCAGTGCTGTGAGAACCTCATCACTGGTGGAAGACAAAATGCACATGTAACTTGACAGGGGTTTAAAAGTGTAGAGAGTTTGGTGTGCAATATAATCACTTTTATTCCTAATACTAAAATGATGTATGTAAAGTGATGCAATTGACCTTTTTTTTGCACTTTGGCATTTATAAATATTTATATGTATTTAAAGATTAAGAATATGTGAGCGTGTGTATACATATACATATATATATATTAAGAAACCTGCTCAGTTTTGTAAACATGAATGTTACTTTTCTTTGAGAGACGTTGTATAGTGTTAACACTACTGCAGTACACATAAACAGTTTATGAAATATGACTAAAAATAAGTGGTGGACAACATAGATACAATCTGTAATCTTAACTGCTCACCTGAAAAAAAACCCCGAGGGATCTATGGCTAACAATCAGATTATTTACCAGAAACATTTTGTTAAACTTACGAACACTGAGTAGCTGAATGGCATTGCAGAAATGGAGTACATCTTAAACAGTTTGTTTCATCTGTGCTCATATAATTTTTCCTCAAAAAAAAAAACCAAACCCTTAGAAAGAGAAGCTTGGCATTTTGAAATCTGGATAAACAGCCTGGAAGTGTGCTTTGAGGAAATACTGTGATATGACAAGTCTAGGGTTTTTTTATTGAAAAAGACAAGAAATGAATGTCAAAATTAAGGCTTTGTCTGCACGGATCATACAAAACAAACGAGTCTGACTGGAAACTAGTGTTTGCAAACAGCCTTTGAAGTTTTGTAAAGTTTCCGGTAAGGGTTTGCATTTCCTTGTCAAAACAATGAAAACCAAACTCAACCTTAACTGGAATTAACTAGTTGGTTGGTAAGTTTCAAAAACTGTTAGAACCAGAGGGCTCTTGAGGCTTTGTTCGCCTTTTTGTACGAGCTAACAGAGCATTAGTGTTTATTCAAAAAAAAACAATTAAAAAAGCGCGATTCCATGTTTTTCTTTCCTGAAGGAAGGACCTTAAATGCTAAATTACTTTCCTTTTTAGATCTATTTGGCTTCAAATGAGAATTTTATGAATGAAGTAGGGTTTAGACATTCAAAATGCAGCTGACACACGGCGTTTGCAGAACCGAGCAGCTGACCCTTTTGGCAGCAGCGCAGTCCTCTCGCTCGGGGTGCGCTGGAAGTGGCAGATGTTGAAGTGCAGACAAACCTCTACTGAACACAACGCTGGTTTGGGGTACGGGTTCAGTCTTGCAGCAATACAGTTTGTGTGGAGCATTTCATTTGAACTGGGACACTTGAAATGGAAGTACTTTAAGCGTGGTGGGGGGTAAATGCTGAACAGCCTTTGTCTGTATATTCTACACATGTCATATGGATTCTATCAGGGCTTGATGCTAAACTTAGTGATACCATATACTGGGAACCAAATTCTTTCCTGGGGAGTGTATTGTGTAATTCCTGCTCAAAACTGGTTTTGATCCAGGGACACCTGCACCCAGATGCAGAATTTGGACTTGGGTTCCTATAGATGGATCTAGTGGTTTCTTTGCTTTTCCAGAGTGTCTTTGTTTATTTCTTTTAACATGTTGAAATATGACAGAAAAAGTGTATTCTGGCTCATTATTTTACATATATTTTAGATTGTCTATTACATGAGTGATAGTGATGTTCTAAAAGCTTATTACACAACTTATCAAATCAGTTTTATTTTTTGCCCGCTCTGCATGCTGAAACTGTCTGGAGCTAAACTAATGTTTTAAGTAAACCATCTTTTCTCATATTAGCATTGGAGGAAAGTGGAGAGAGAACCATTGTTTCTGTTTGTGTTATATAAAATGACTATTTTTGTAGCAAAAATTTTAGTTTATGGATTTCAATCCCACAGTGTTGCTTTGTGGATATAAATTTATCTGGGTCCGCTATTTCAAACAGTATATGTATAACAAGTCCAGTATAAAATTAAACTAATAAAATGCACTCTTCTGCAATTTGTTATTGAAAATATGGCAAATTATTTTGGTCCAAGAATGCAAAACAAAATAGAGAAAATACATTTAACTATTTAAGTTTTTATTCCTTGATGCTGCTGCTTGTTTTTTGAAAAGGTGCTTGCAGTTTTGCACAAAAGAAATCAACTTTATTAATTGCTGGGTTTGAAGCACTTTAGGATTCTTCTAAGTACAACCAGTATATGGTGTAAAAAGGAATGACATAAAAAAATGTTTAATGTGTTTAAATTTTGTTTGCAATCTTTGCTACTCCGATAGATTTAATCGGCGTGTTCCTTTAAATATAAACCTATTTTCAGAGATTTGAAATTAGAATTTTTTTTTAATGGGCTGAAATTTAACACGTAGTAAGAGATCATTTGAGAAACATCTTGTACTCAGATGCCTGGAGGGT